ATCCATACTCTGGTTTCTCTTCAGGTTGCATAAATCTTTCACCTTTTTAAAATGGTTTTATCCACCCATCATATTTTGATCTGTATACAGAATTTTCATGTTATACTTAATAGTATTCCTAATTAGTTTCATTTTTTTAGCTGTACAACTGCATTATCAAAAAATAATTATAATTTTGAATTCTCTAAACTTTTAAATATCATATTTCTTTTTCAAGTCTCAATAAACTGGATAATATTTTCAAGAAAATGTTAAATAACAGTGATAATTGTTGACATCTCTGTCCTGTTTCTGAGCAACAACGTCACTATTAAGTATTAGATGCGATTTGGTTTAAGATCATGTGTGTAGATTGCATGTGTATGTGTATGCATGTGTTTAGCTGAGGGCATTATAATTGAAGAATAAGCATTTGAAGCCATTAAAACCTACTGTGAAAGAAAAATAATGTCTGTAGTACTAGTGAAAACCAGCTACAACAAGGGCAATGTCACCACGGTGCAAATCTCAAGTGAAATAGGTATTAAGTAAACTAGTCTGTGACCACCCTCCCTCTTTTTCTACTACTATTCAATAATCTGAGTTTCAGACAAAGCTTACTTTTGTAGTATAGGAAAATACTGATTTGTAGAAAAATAATGAATCTAGATATGGTTTCCCAGTTTAGGAGACACATGGCTAGGGAGGAAGGGGGTAACAAAATATATTCTATAATATATACGACATAATATCCATAATATGCGTTATACATTTCCAATTATAAGATATGTGAAGAAGTAGGAAAATGTGAGCTATTCTTATGAACAGAGTCCAACTTCCGGGGAAGCAGATTTTGGTATCATCAAACAAAGATTTAAAGCAGTGATTATAAATAACTAAGCTCAATATGGAAAAAGAAAGGGAAAGGAAAGGACAGGGAAAGAAAGAAAAGGACTCATAACGACTAAAAAGAAGAAATCTCAGCAGAAAAACAGAAAATATAAAAAGGTAGCAAGTGGAATAAATATCTAAAATAAAAATAACTTGGGGCGCCTGGGTGGCTCAGTGGGTTAAAGCCTCTGCCTTTGGCTCCGGTCATGATCCCAGTGTCCTGGGATCAAGCCCCGCATCGGGCTCTCTGCTCAGCAGGGAGCCTGCTTCCTCCTCTCTCTCTGCCTGCCTCTCTGCTTGTTTGTGATCTCTATCTGTCAAATAAATAAATAAATAATCTTAAAAAAATAAAATAAAATAAAAATAACTTAAGGTTTTAATAGTTGAATGAAAATTACAGAGGAAAAGAGCAATTAAAGTGATGATAGATCAATGGGAATTATCCAGTTTGAAATTCAGAGATAAAAATGATTAACAACAACAACAAAAAAGAGAGGCTCAGAAACATGTGAGACAATAGTAAAAATTCTACCATACAGGTAACTGGTGTCCCAGAAAGAGGAGTAGAGAGAGGTTGGAGCAGAAAACTGTGTTTGAAAAAAATATAAGGCTGAAATTTTCCCGAGTTTTATGAAAGATACAAATTTATAAGAATTTATAATTTCTTCAAATTTATACAAAGCTCTGTAGCTCAGTAGAACTCTAAATAGAATGAACTTGAAGAAAACAAACTAGGCATATCATAGCCAAATTGTTAGAAATAAAAGTTACAAAAATTTTGAAAGTAGCCACTGTAAAATGACACATTATACACAGGGGAACCAAAATTCAAAACACCACACATTTCTCACTCAGAAACTATGTAAACCAGAAAACAGTGGAGTATTTTTAAATGTGCAGCACCTTAAAAACAACATATACACATACAAACTGTGAACCTAGATATCTACATTCAGCAAAAACGTCCCTCAAGAATAAAAGCAAAAAAGAGGAATTTTTAGATAAAGGAAAGCTAAGTGAAATGCTAAATGATGTTTCTGTACCTTCAAGAACAAATGAAATTATAAAAATTTATAAAGTTATATTAAAGGAAATCATAAATAAGAGAAAATACAAAAGAATCTATTCCTTTTAATTAAAAATGCTTAAGACTACTTAAAGCAAAAATTATAACAATGTATTTATAAGTAATACATGTAACTATTGCAAAAGTAAATAAAAGTAAATATATATATATGATCTTGAAGCTTCTGCATTTTTTTATAAAGTGCTACAATGTTAACTCTAATAGACTGTGAAAAGTTAGGAAAGTAGGGTAGGGTAGAGTAACTGACCAAAAACAAAAGTTCTGAAGATAAAATACCTGCGTGTAAATTAAAATGGAATTCTAATATAAACTTTCAAATAATCCAGAAGGCAAAAAGGGGAGGAAAAGGGAACAACAACAACAACAAAAAGATCGAACCAACAAAACAAATAGTAAGTTGGTATGCTTAAATCCAATTCCATCAATAATTACATTTAATGTTAATAGACTGAACCCTCCAACCAAATGTTATAAAACTGAATAAAAAAGACCTGACTATATGCTCTCTACGGAAAACCTAATGGATGCCTAACATTAAGCCTCAAAAATACATGAAACAGAAAGGACAGAAATAAAGTGAAAAATAGATAATTCTATAATTATTAGGAAATTTTAATACCACACTCAGAAATTGAAAGCACTAGTCAAAAAACAGTAAAATCAGAGGACCTAATTAATGCTATCAGCCACCTTGACCTACTTGACTTAAAAAGAATATAAAGCAGAAATGAACAAAACTACAGGGAAAAATCCATAATAATAGAGATTTTGACTTACCTCTCTCAAAATTGAAAAATCAAAGAATAAAAACTAAGCAAAGAAAAAAAGTTTGACCTTTGTGTAACAGGAAATGTACATTCTTCTCAAGCATACTTGGAACTTCATAGTAATTAATTGTGTATGTCTAATTTAAAGCAAATCACAGTAAATTTTGTAGAACTAGTATCATGCCACATTCTCTGCCTACATTTAAAAATTTATAACAAAATATATTTTTAGAAATTAGAAAACAAATGTCTAACTCATAGGTCAAAGGAATATTATAATAGAAATTAGAAAATACCTCCAACTGAATATTAATGAAAATTACACATTTTTAATAAAATTAATATCAAAACTTATAGGATACAGCTAAAGTACTACTTACAGAAATTTTTATTTTCTAAAATAAAAATAGCTGAAATGAAATGTAACAGAATGAACCATAAGAATATGTCAAAATCACTGATATTTGCTTTAAATCATGGTAAGACTGCAGGAATTTAATCTGCTCTATATGAGATACAAATGCTGATGTTTTCAACAACCTGTGAACAGAATTTCATCTTCTTCAACAGGAAATCAGAATTGCAGTTGACCCTTGAACAGCATGGGTTTGAACTGTGTGAGTCCATTAATACATAGTTCTTTTTTACGTTTTTATTCAAATTCTAGTTAATTAACATACAGGGTAATATTAGTTTCAGGTGCACAAGCTACTCTGGAAAGCAATATGGAGTTTCCTCAAAAAATTAAAAATAGAACTACCCTACAATCCAGCAGTTACATTACTAGGTATTTAGCCAAAGAATACAAAAATACTAATTCAAAGGAATAGTTTTTTTAAAATAAATAGTATATAGTACTGTAAATGTATTTTTTCTTGCTATTATTTTATTAATAACATTTTCTTTTTTCAGGCTTGCTTGATTGTAAGAATACAGTATATAATACACATAACATATGAACTATGTGTTAATTGACTGTGTTTATCACCAAGGCTTCTAGTCAACTGTAGGCTGTTAGTAAATAAGTTCTGGAGGAGTCAAAAGTTATATGTAGGTTTTCAACTGCATGAGGATAAGTGCCCCATGCCCCATATTGTTCAAGGGTTAACTGTATAGAAAACAACCCAAACTGATAAATCTGGATATGGTGAAACATATGAAAGTAACAAATATCCAATCAAGCCAAAAAGAAATTGTATAAAAGTTGACTGTTGAGAAGAACTGAAGTAGAAAAATTATGAATAAATCATATTTTACACATACAAATAAAAGGCATAAGGAATGGGGGTAAGGGGTGGGGAGAAGAAGTAAACTCATCATAGAAACAAATAATTCTACCTGAGTGGGATATATAGCAAACACCTATCCAAGGTTTTCATAATGTCAATCTTTAAATGAAGCATCTCAAACTAAGTTTGTAAAAGCAATGTAATCTCTAAAGCTGATAGGTTAAATGTTATAATAATTTAATCATCTGAAGGTGAAGTATGCAACAAAAAAAGGCATGGTATAAAAAAGGGCAAATGAACACAAGATGGAATAATTTCATCTTGTGATTTATGGGTCACCAATTATAAAAAACATAATACAAAATTTTACAAATGTGATACTATAATAAATGCTCAGAAACTATAAAATAGGATGTGTTTGATTAACTGCTAGGATTTGACCTCTCTATTCTTATAAACAACCAATGGTATGATGAAAATATAGAACTTAGATCACCACTAACATTCTCAGAAATAATATGGTCATCAAATAAAAGATATTTATTTATTTGAACTCTTTGTTCTTTCCAGTTAGGTGGAACATAAACTATAAATACCTCCTTTTGATAAGAAAGATAATAAGAAATACAATCTACAACAAAAACCATAGTTCTCACCTTTGGTGTAATCAAATGGTAGAAATGGAAATAAATGAGAGAATCTAGAAAATGACAAACTATAAAATAGTATAGGAAATAGGTCTGAAAGTCAGATCTATATAATGTCATTCTCACTACCTCCTTAACCCTAAGGACTACTTCAGATACATCAACCATCCATTCTGCAATTTTTGCTTGGAAAGGTCTTTATAAAAGCATCACAAAGTAGGAAAGTGGATAAACAGGGAGAGCGGTATAATGTGGGGATCTGAAGGAGATATAAAAAGGTATTTAGAACCAGAAGGTATATCCTATCACTTTCTTCCAAACACACTGATACCACCTGTTCTACTTCAAGTCAAGGCACTGTATCTCCAGAGTTTATTTCTTTTGAAAGCATACACCTTACCATGTGGAATTGTGGTCTGGAAAGGACGACTTGGGCTTTTCAGGTTCCATAAGGTCAAGCTACCATCTGAATGGCTGCACATGAATTGTTTGCCCTCATGATGCCAATCAATTGAATGAATAGCCTAATGAAATAATAATTAAAGACAAGTAGGAAGGGGAAAGTTGATATGTTATAGCATTCTATATTCCAAAGGAAAAATATTCTGAGGTAAAATTATTATATCAACAATACTTAAGAAACATTAATACTTTTTCTGACCCAGATCATACTATCGTCAGCTTCAATCCTCTATAAGCTTACAGAAGACTACAAAAACTCATCTCCCGAGAGAAAGAAAAGTTCAGTACATTTCATAATATCATTATAGCCTAGAACTTTTTGTTGTAAATTCTATGTCCTTCTTGTATCCTATATGATCCTTTGAAAAATTATTTACATAAAAGTAAAAGTAAGATTATCAGAAGATAATTTCTGGAAAGATAGAGGCTTACTGCCACTTAAAGTAGCCAATTTAAGTAATAATTTACATCAAGAGCTACTATCTGAGGGCTTACTATGTGCCAGATCCCTTGCCAAAGTATTTATGTTAACTCTTTTAATTTTATAAAGCAGGTACTATTTTTTTTCCAATTTACACATGGTGAAATAGGCCTAAAGAAACTGATATGCATGCCCAGGTCACACAATTCAAAGCCAACTTCTATCTAACTACACAACCCATAATCTCAATCACTGTATTGCCCCTAACATATACTATTTATATGACAATTTAAGGTTTAAGCAAGAAAAGTTCAAAAATTCTTTTGTAAATTTACTCTGAAGATATGAGTTACATAAAATTTAAAAGTAATTATTCCATTTCCATATATTGTTTTATTCCCAGTGGTAGCACAATGCTTTGCATAAAGTAGATACTCAATATCTGTTGAATGAATAAGTAATGTCATTACATATTCCCACACTTTGTATTCTTTCTAAACCAAGAAGTTTATTTGGCCTTTCAGTAATGTGTGAATCACAATGAGAGAAGCTCTAGAAGACATAAAAGCTGAACAAATGTATACAATGTTACCCTTTACTTAAAGGAACTCAAAACTGCAAGATAAGGAAGATTAAAATAAATGAATGTTAATAATATTGTTTGGAACTTCTAACATTTAGTTTTTATGTATATATATGATATACTAACCTAAGATATGTGTGTTTAAAACTATTATTTGTTTTCTAAATAATAAGTATTATTATTTAGAGTTACAGATAATTGTTGGCTAGAATAATCATTAGACATATCATAAAGGACATAGGATATGAGCTGTACCTCAAGATAAGTAAGATTAATTAAATGAAACAGATAACATGAAACTTTGGGCTTATGTTTTCTCTCACTGTATTCTTCATTACTAGGTAAACAATTTTTTTTTTTTTTTTGCCAGCATTCAGTAGAGACAGAAAGAAAACACTTGTCATCTTCTTCTTTGCTTATTCTCACTTTTATAGATGGCTCAGTGGAAATGCCACTTAAGACTTCTATGTGTTAACTTGATGAACCTCAGTCAATTTAAAGTTCTCTCAGACTGCTCTGCTACGAATGGTGTGGGCAGAGAGAGAATCTCCAGCCTTAACCCTTCTTCCTATCTTACTGAATTTCTACCTACTAAAGAAGACAAATAGAAAAATGACAGCTACAACACAAAAGCAAAATAAGTACCATAAAAGAAGTATACTTATTGTACAAAAGAGTAGGCATATAAAACCAGCTTGCTATTAGAGGGAGTCAAAAACAGTCTATTACTGAAGAGCTGGATTTGAATAAATTTAATGGATAAGTATCTAATTCTTTTAACTTCATTATACCCTACTCCTTTCTTTAAAAAGAGATTTAAGAGTTTACTAAACACACACACACACACACACACACACACACACACACAAATACAACTAATTCAAGAATAATTTTAAAAGATAGAAAACAAAATATGGAAGATAAAACACTAGCTGGTTTGGTCAACTCAGTGGCTGTGATCGAGTTTCCCCAAAACAAAAAAAGAGAAAGAAAACCCAAAAAGCTGGGTACCAACATGAAAAAAGGAAAAACAGCAGCTACTCAAGGAATTAAAAGGCTATCCTCGTATCAAACTCTGAGGGTTTTCTCTGTAAGAGATTATTTAGAAATATTGATGTAATAAAATAAAAATTTCATAGCTAATATATAAATTCATATAGTTATTTCTGAAAATTATCTTGGATTTACAAAGCAAAACTTTCAATTCATCTATGGCTATTCAAGGGGCTACTTTGGCAATTGAAATAGTTTTACAGTGGCTACAAAGTTAATGGGATTTTGATATGCAAAATAGGAAAGAAGAGAGTTCATGATAAGGAATTAGCTGGAGCAAAGGCTTTAAGGTAGGAAATAAATAATATGTTTAGGAGATAGTAATATGTCTGAAGTGTGAGGAGTGTATAGAAGCATACACTGCATTAAACTAAAGAGAAAAGATAACATCAGGGCCTTGAATCTCATGTAAAGGAAAAAAAAACTTGTATTGTTGATAACAGGGAGCCATTCGAAGGTTCTGAGGTAGAGAATTATATGATCTATGGCTTAAAATGGTAATCTTATTAGTGAAAGATACTGAAAAGGTAAGATATCAGAGGAAATGCAATTAGTTAAAAGGCTACCATAGTCTTTTAGGCAAAACGTTAACAACTTAGACTAGGACATTGAATGTGGGACTGAAAAAAGAGAAGAAATGAATGAGGGACAATATAAAAACAGAATTAAGAGACTACAAAACTGATAGCATATGAGATATATAGAAGAAAGGATCAAATATGACTCTAAGGGGGCACCTGGGTGGCTCAGTGGGTTAAAGCCTCTGCCTTTGGCTCAGGTCATGATCCCAGAGTCCTGGGATCGAGCCCCACATCGGGATCTCTGCTCAGTGGCGGGCCTGCTTCCCCCCCTCACTCTGCCTGCCTCTCTGCCTACTTGTGATTTCTCTCTGTCAAATAAATAAATAAAATCTTAAAACACACACACACACAAAATATGGCTCTAAGGGTTACAAATAATTTTGAAAAAATTTAAAATGAAAAACTTTTTTTAAATTTTAAAATAAAAAAAATTTAAAACTGAAAAAGAAAACAGAAAAGTTTTAGATCTTTAAGTATAAATTCAGTACCAATGAGATATTTATCTGGGCTTATGCAATAGATCATTAGATATATGGATCAAGAGGTCAGGGGAAAAGTAAAGGTGAGAGATACAAGGACTTCAAATTTACTAGAATAAATATTTATATTTGAAATGATGGGAGAAGATATAAATGCAACCTGGAGGTGAAATGAAGAAGGTAAAGACATAAAATACTCAAGAGTATCTATCATTTAAAGGAAAGCTAAGGAAAGAATCAGTGATGGAGAAAGGAAGGGTGAAAAATGAGGTAGAAAGACAAAAACAAGGGAAGAAACCATTTTGGGGAAGAAACCATTTTTAGGAAGGAGGGGTGATGTAAAGCCACAGGTTTAATGAGGAACTTAAAAGACTATGAAGGGGGGCACCTGGGTGGCTCAGTGGGTTAAGCCTCTGCCTTCAGCTCAGGTCATGATCTCAGGGTCCTGGGATCGAGCCCCACATCGGGCTCTCTGCTCAGCGGTGAGCCTGCTTCCTCCTCTCTCTGCCTGCCTCTCTGCCTACTGGTGATCTCTCTCTCTCTCTGTCAAATAAGTAAATTTAAAAAAATCTTTAAAAGACTATGAAGGGGTCACTATGTATAGTAATCGAGAGATCACTGTATTGTAATCAAGAGAAACCACTTCATAATAGTATTAAGTGAATTGGGGGAAATCAGAGGGGAGATGAAACATGAAAGACTGAGGACTGAGAAACAAACAGGGTTTTGGAAGGGAGTGGGCTGAGGGGATGGCTGAGCCCAGTGGTGGGTATTAAGGACAGCACGTATTGCATGGAGGACTGGGTATGGTGCATAAACAATGAATCTTGGAACACTGAAAAAATAAAATTACATTTAAAAAAAGAAAAGAAAAAGAATTATTTCTAAATATGAGAGGTAACGTGCTGAAGAAAGTTTTAAAAGTTTGGCAGTAAAATCATGTATATAACTAACTCCTAAACTCCTAAAATCATGTATATAACTAACTAACTAAAATGATAGGATATATAATTATGCATTAAAGTAAATAGATTATATGCATATATACATGTATATGTATAAGTCAATATTTAAAATTATTTCTAGGTATAAAGTAGGTATAGTGTAGTACTCTACTTACTTAAATATCACTAATGCTTATTTAAACACTTTATTGCAAAATTACTTTTACTCACTTTTTAAGGTTAGAAAGTCTTCCTTTTACAGTGTTTTAGGCCATAAAAAAAGTAGTTGAGGGGCACCTGGGTGGCTCAGTGGGTTAAGCCTCTGCCTTCAGCTCAGGTCATGATCTCAGGGTTCTGGGATGGAGCCTCTTATCGGGCTCTCTGCTCAGCGGGGAGCCTTGCCTGCCTCTCTGCCTACTTGTGATTTCTCTTTCTGTCAAATAAATAAATTAAAAAAAAAAAAAAGAAGTATTTTGGGCACCTGTGGGTTAAAGCCTCTGCCTTCGACTCATGTCATGACCCAGGGTTCTGGGATCGAGCCCCGCATCTGGCTCTCTGCTCAGCAGGGAGCCTGCTTCTTCCTCTCTCTGCCTGCTTCTCTGCCTACTTGTGATCTTTGTCTGTCAAATAAATAAATAAAACCTTTAAAAAAGAACAAAACTAGTTGTTTTATCATTTTCTCCGTATGTCCTTTTTAGACGACCTACTCTTTCCAACTGGTTATTCAGATAATATTTGTACTCTTATCTAGTTACTAGTCTTAAGAGAGGAAGCAATATCTAATATCATCTTTGTATTTTGTGTTTTAATAAAAGAAAAGTCTAGCTTAGCTCCCTAGGACCTTCTTTTCTTATGATTCAAGATGGCCTAGAAGTTGATCACAAAGAGCATAATTATAAGACATCACCTGCCGGAGTATTTTCCACCAGCCATGACCAGATTACCCAGTTATTGTATCATTTACCACCGAACTCTTTCTCACTACAAGAAGTATCTTGTATATGCCATAAAATCTTAGTTTCCCAGAACTCGTAAGAAATGAATTGGGGGTGTGTATACTTATGAGATATCCAAAGGCATGTATCTTTAAGCACAAAAACTTAAAAATGCAACTGTTATGAGGGGATGGGAGGTAGCACACAAAGAAATGTGTTTTTAAAAAATTTTTTTCTTCCTATTTATATCAGTGTTGCCTTAAATTCTTCTGCATTCTTCTCATATAAGTGCAGGTGATACCAGATAATGATTATTGGCCTATATTTTCTTCCTATCTCTCCTTACTCCACCATTTTTTAAATTGAATTAAGAGTTTACATGATCACTTTACATGATCACCTTTATTCCCAAAATTACAAGAGGTAATTACACTTTTTCACTTTTTGCCCCAGTCTATCTTCACATTAACTTCCTCTGAATGGGGAAATCCTTAATGGCCTAGAATCAATCTTTGAACAACTAAAGTAAAAACCTAATTAAATCTCAACTATGTACAATAAAACTCACTTTAAGATCTTACCCTTATTATTAAGGTTTACTATTTACAAAATCAATATTTATTCTGAGAAGGCAAGTATTATATGATAAGGCCTTTCGAACTGACCTCTTAAGTTTTCTGTCACAGAAAAAGAATTTTCTAAGAAAGGTGTGAATAGTGTCTTTAAAGATTTTAAGGACAATGGGGCAAGACATAATAACCATATAACCTAATGTAAGCAAAAGGATAGGTAATAAGCACCAATGTAAATTAAGATGCCAAAAAGGGCCCCAAAATAGTCAATCAAGACAGAATTCTCATTCAGGAGAACAATCCAGAGTTGGAACTCGGGCAAATGCCAGCAGGCAATATGAAACACTGGGTCAGACCCACACAGTTACCCAATGATAAAAATATTTGTAACATACAAAGCTTACAAGTAGAAAACAGATACAAAGTCATAATATTCTTTTCAAATATTTCAGTAGAAGTGACTTACCTCATCATAATAAACTCTTAGTTCTGCTCTTTTAGACTTCAAGTCCCAGAATACTACAGTACCATTTTCATAACCTATCAGCAGCTGGAAAACATTAGAACAATCATTTTTATAATTCTAACATTAATTTTAACTTGTTCCAAATAAAGTTTAATGTTAATACAATAAAGTAAAATCATATTGTAAAATACAATTATATTTAGAATGCCAATTTTTCCAGAACATGAATATAGATTTCCTACATTTAAAAAAAAGGCAAATAAACTTTACTTCAATAAATATTTCCCAATGAAATCATCCTCATTCCCAATTTCCAAGAGAAATTGAGGAAATGTGTGTGTGTGTGTGTGTGTGTGTGTATACACATATGTACGTAAAAATAAATAAGAAAATTGGAACAAAAGAAAAATGGGATAGAAAATGAAGATGAAATAAAGGATGAAATGGGATAACTCTAATAATCAATGTATATGCAATTCAGTCCTATGCATTTAAAAAATATGGCATAAATTTGGCTTATTTCTTTATATTAAAATCCTATTTTCTCTTTGACTTATGTCAGTATATTAAACTGGTGATTTATGAACTCTCAGAAGTAGACAAGGTATTCTAGAGATTTGCATCATTAAAAATGGTTATTTATTTATAAATCAATAAATAAGACAACAAAATACTTGGGTTCATTTTAAAATACAAGTATTTGAGAGCAGATAATGATTAATAGATAATCATATTCAAGATTCACTCAGTTAAATACTGATAGCCATGTTGATGATTTTTATTATCATATAATTCTGAGTTATATTTGTAGTTATATTTTATTAAATTTACTGTATCGTTAGTTTAAAAACACAGGAAGGATAAAAAGAAGCCAGTGTTCAAATAATGGTAATATTGCCTATGAATCTGCCTTAAGATGATTTTCCTGAAATCCATTAGTAGTATTTCTCTGATGAAAATTCCTACACAATGCATAAAAATGTTCCAATAATTCCAAAACACTAGTGGTAAAAATAGAAAATAGGCAGTGGCAACTGAATAATAAAATAAAAGAAAAAAGAAAAATTTATTCCTAAAAAGAAATAAAACAAAATAAAATAAAATTGATATTTAAAACTTCAAAAAAAAAATAAAAGGTATGGGGATTAAAAAAAAAAAAAAGAAAAAGAAAATCGTGTGGTGGTTGTAAGCTACTCCTATACAGCATCCTGAGACCTAATCATTTACCTCAACATTTTATAACAGAACACAAAAATTGACAAAAACAAATGAGCTAGTTTTAAAAGCAAATTAAAAAATTCCAGCTAACAGGTCATGAAATCAATGTGTATTTTTTGAAGTTTTAACATATTTAAAGATTTTATTTTTACTATGTTTTATCTTTATTTTTTTTTAAAGATTTTTATTTATTTATTTGACAGAGAGAGAACACAAGTAGGCAGAGAGCAGGCAGAGAGAGAGGAAGGGAAGCAGGCTCCTTGCTGAGCAGAGAGCGCAATGCGGGGCTCGATCCCAGGACCCCGGGATCATGACCTGAGCCGAAGGCAGAGGCTTAAACCACTGAGCCACCCAGGCGCCCCTGTTTTATCTTTATTTTTTAACTAAAACATTTTTTAAGTATAGTTGATCCAGAATGTTATATTAGTTTCAGATGTACAACATAGAGATTCAACTTCTATGTTATTCTATGCTCACCACAAATGTAGCCACCATCTGCCACCATACAACTTTATTATAGTATCATTCCTGGGACTTATTCATTCAATAACTGGAAGACTGTATCTTCCGCTTCCTATCACCCATTTTGCCCATTCCCTACCTTTCTCCTCTCTGGCAACCATCAATTTGTTCTCCGTACTTACAGATTCTGTTTTTTCGTTTATTCATTTGACTTTTTAGATTCCACATATAAGTAAAATCGTATTTGTCTTTTCTAATCTGATTCATTTAGCATAATACCCTCTAGGTCTATCCAAGTTGTCACAAATGTAACGATCTCCTTTTTTATGACTGCAAAATGTTCCATTAAGAAGTTCCACATCTTGGGGCGCCTGGGTGGCTCAGTGGGTTGAGCTGCTGCCTTCAGCTCAGGTCATGATCTCAGGGTCCTGGGATCGAGTCCCACATCGGGCTCTCTGCTCAGCGGGGAGCCTGCTTTCCTCTCTCTCTCTCTCTCTGCCTGCCTCTCTGCCTACTTGTGATCTCTGTCTGTCAAATAAATAAATAAAATCTTTAAAAAAAAAAAAAGTTCCACATCTTCTTTATCCTTTTGTGTATTGATGGGCCCTTAGGTTGCTTCAATATCTTGGCTATTGTCAATAATATTGCAATAAACATAGGGGTGCATCTATCTTTTTGAATTAATGTTTTTGTTTTCTTTGGGTAAATACCCAGAGTGGAATTATTGAATCCTATTAGTATTTCTTTTTTTCTTTATTTTTTTCCTATTAGTATTTCTATTTTTAATTTTCAAGGGTAACCTACTGAATGGGAGAAGATATTTTCAAATGATATATCTGATAAGGGGTTAATATCAAAAATATATAAAGAACTTACAACTCAACACCAAAAAACAACCTGATTAAGAGGCACCTTAAGAACCACCTGGGTTGTTCAATGATTGTCTGCCTTCGGCTCAGGTCATGATCTTAGGATCCTGGGATCGAGCCCCATGACAGGCTCCCTGCCCAGTGGGGAGTCTGCTTCTCCCTCTCCTTTTGCTCCTCCCCCTTTCTCATGCTCTCTCTTATTCCAAATAAATAATTTGTTTTAAAAGCACAATAATCCAATTGAAAATAGGCAGAGGACTTAGACATTTTCCCAGAAAAGACATACAGATAGCCAACAGACACATAGGATAGTCAACATCACCAGTCATCAGGGAAATGCAAATCAAAACCACAATGAGATATCACCTTACACCTGTCAGAATGGCTGAAATAGAAGTTTCATTATTAAACCACATACAATCTGAAAATTGATTTGACAAAAAAATTGAGCTTCTTTACATACTAAATTAAATGGCATAATCACTTGCTAAATTCAAAGTCAAAATTTAGTGTAAACTTTAAAAATATTTGTTAAAATTTATATAATGTCATAAATACTGTAGTAAGATGCATTTTAACTTCAAATCAGCTCTTTTTACATACTAGAGAAAATGATGTATCATTAAACCAGTCCCTATGGAATCCAAGGAGAGGAGATCTGTAAGTCTAAAAAGTTTGGAAAATCTCACTTAGCAAGAGAATGAATAATATGACCTTTCAAAATTTGAGCCCTAAGATGTAAAGAAGTAATAATCTAAAATGCTATTATATTCTTTCATAGAAACATCTAAAAGATAGAACTTGTTTTGTTTATAAAACACTAGTAATAACTACAGTAAATAACAAAATATAAACTATATAACCTCAAAATGTTGTAAGTTATTGGGATAACTATACAACATTATGATATAGGAAGTATGAAAAAATATTAGAATCACTTAGGGAATTGAGAAAGAGAAAAGAAATTCCTGAAATCTAGGAGACATCTGACAAGATTACTCTGTGACTATAAGACAAAAACAAAATCATGCTGCAATCATGTCTGACCATAACAAAACATAAGTATCACCTAGGTCACAAAAATATATTATATATTACATATGTTTATATATAATTATATATTATATTCTTATATGATATGTATATATAATTTTTAAAATTTATCTCTCACAATAGAATTTAAGTACTGTGAAGGCAAAGAAGTAAGGTGACTTCCTGATTACTATATCATCAGGGCCTGGAACAGTATCTAAAGAAAATAAGTACCTGATAAATATTTGTTAAATTAATTATTAAATACCACAAAATCAAAATCACAGATACATATTTCCTAACAACTATGAAATAAAATTTGAAGTCACTAACAAAAATATTTTGGAAACTAAAAAATATACTTCTAAGTAATTATGGTCAAAGAAGAAATTATACTGAAAAGTATGAAACAGAACTAAATAAAAATTCCTTATATTAAAACTTGTGGGATACAGATTTAACTTCATCAAGAGGGATATTTATTATTTTATAAAAGCATATGAAAAGAAGAAAAAAAATTTAAATAAATTTCTTTTATCAGGAATAGGTGTTTAATTTTTAATAAATATTTTTTATTGAAGAATACATAGAGAAAAGCATACAAACTGTGGATGTCTTTAACAAATTATGAAGTTGAATATACCTGTGAAAAGTCTACTTGGATCAAAAAATATAATAGAAAATCAAGGAATAGAAAAAAACAATACAAGATACTCAGAAGCCTATTTCATACCCTTAACCAATCAACATTTCCATCTGCTTTTTATCTTCTCTTTTAAAAGTAACTAAAGACTTCTAACTATAGGTTATTGGTATCTGTTTTTACATTTTATGAGTAGAATTATATATTACATATCCTTTTCTGTCCTGCTCCTATTTCTAATCATGGCATTTATAGCAATAATTCATTCACTTTTATTATTGTAATAGTATTTCATTGTTTGGGTAGGACAATACCATAATTTATTTATTTTATGGGTAATATAATAACATTACCATAAACAAATTTGTATATGTCTTTTAGAGAATATATATATGAATTTCTGTCAGGTATATACTGATTCATGGGGTAAGAGTATGTTTAACTTTAATAGATACTGCCAAACAGTTTTCCAAAGTGGTTGTACCAATTTTGATTTCCATAAGCTGCACATCAAAGCTCCAATTCCTTTTCATCTTTTTAAAATAATTAATATTGTTAATGGCTGTACAATGTTAAATTGGAGTATGATAGAAATCTTTGTCTCATTTCAGAATGTAGGAGGAAAGCTTATTAATTCATCATTAAGGAGGATATTTTCATAGTTCTGGGTAATTAAGTTCAGATTAACAAAGTTCCTTTCTTCTAGTGTAACAAGAAATTTTTATCACAAAGGGAAGTTGATTTTTGTCAAACACTTTTCTATCTTTTTATTGTTAAACACTTTTTTCTCTATATTTGTAAATAAGAAAATTCCACTGATTTTTAAAAATTATTTAAATTCAAATAAAATTTAAATTTAA